CTAAACCCTAAACCCTAAACCCTAAACCTAAACCCTTGGGGGGTTTAACCACTTAGGGCTAGGGTGTTCAGGGCTTAGGCTTTGGGGATGCGGGCTTTCGGGTTTTAGGGCCAAGTTAGGTTTTCCAGGCTCCAACAAAGCAACAACTACCTATCTGGCCCCGATTTGTTGTGGGGCGGGGGGGGGTAACAAAACCCGAGGCCCTAGAGATTAAACCCTAAATCGAATCACGGGCGGCTAAAGTCGAAAGAGACGCTTGGGGCGGGGGTGGGTGGGGGTGTCTCCATGGGAACCTGAAAACTAGACTTTGGGGTTTCGGGCGCCAAGCGAGGCACGCAAGACTGGCCGAGTGGTCAGCACTGTGACCGACAATATCAGCTCTTGCCTCAGGGAAGATGTAATTAGGGTCTTTTCCCAGTTAGGTTTGCCTTAAGTGTTTTGGAGGCTTCGGGCTCCGAAACCGTACTTGCAGCCCCATAGACCTCCCTATTTGAGATAGTATAAGCATAGTAAGGCACCCTCAGAATGTAGCATCCTGTTGGGCTACAGGTATAAGTACAGGTTTAGGGTTTAGGGTTTAAACGGTTTAAACCCTCAATCACCCTAAACCCTAAGCCCCGTGAGGAAGCCAGTGGCAGCAGCGAGAGAGCGAACGGGCTGCCGAAAGGTGGTTTCCCAACATTTTGGTGAATCCTACAAAACGATTTTTGTTTATGATTCTTCAGTGGGTTTTGATTCATGTTTTTTTTTTTTTTTTTTTTTTTGTGGGGATTGGGGGGTGAGGGGTGTGAGGTATGGACACATATGTGTATCTGTATATGTATATATACATAATGTTTATATGCAGATATATATTTTTTTATGTATGTATGTGCAGGTACCAGGGAAGACCCGATGTTGCGAAACCAAATTAAGACGATGTGGCCTCGGTCCGGCTTCAAGTACCTGCCGGAAACTCCTCAGGATCGCATCGCGCGGAGAGGCATGTACCATGGACGGCGATTTAGGGTTTAGGGTTTAGGGTTTAGGGTTTAGGGTTTAAGGTTTAGGGTTTAGGGTTTAGGGTTTAGGGTTTAGGGATACGACACCTTCCTCTTTGCCACGGCACGGCTCCCTGGCTGAACCCGAAACCCCCAACAAGCCCTAAACCCTAAACCCCTAAGGGCCTGGCCCACCCCACCCTAGCCTGAACCCTTTCAAGGCCCAGGCCGCGGCAAGCCGACCCAGGCGCCCGCCTCCCACATCTCGGAGGAGGTCGGTAGCACCCCCGGTATAGGAGGTTTTGGGAAAAGGCCCCATCAGGGGGTTATGGACCAAAGGGTGCCCAGGTGACCGGTCGGGGAGGGTGCTCGAAAGTTGACCGAAAGGAAAACTCTTCGCCACGCAGGTTGAATGGCAAACAGATAAAATACTGCTTCCGCTTCGTCGACAACAATCGGAAACCTTCATCCGCAAGCACACAATAAGAACCTTGCTGGAACCCCCCCCTCCTGTCACCTTTTCTAGACTGTGCTGGGAACAAGAGGTGCTGCGAGCTGGCTGGGAGCCCCATAAGATTCTGGACCCCCGTCGCCCTAGACCCGTTGAAGAGGTGTTTGAAAGGCAGCTGACTTGAGCTTAGGCCCAGACCCTAAATTGAAGAGGTTCCTCTACTAGAATAAACAATCATACTCCCTATGTTACCCTTAACCGGGGAGACTATCTTGTTTTTTTCGAGGTTCTTAAGCAATTAGCAGGTTTGGGTCGCTTGGCGGCCTTGGGTGGGAGAAAGGTGTTACATGGCCCCAGTCGGGCCAGATCTGCTCTTCGCACCTGACGAAGATTTCGAGCCTCTTCTGCATCCTAGCCTTCACAGCCTCTGCGCTATCTTACAGCAGACCCTAAACCCTAAACCCTAAACCCTAAACCCTAAACCCTAAACCCTAAACCCTAAACCCTAAACCCTAAACCCTAAACCCTAAACCCTAAACCACCCCAAAAGAACCAACGCCCATGAGGCGATCGTTCCTTCGCGACCTCGAAGCCGGCGACCTGAGCACAGATCTTCCACAATGGCTCGATGAGGATTTTGGGGTTTAGGGTTTAGGGCTTATGGGTACAGGGCTCAATGAGGATTTCTGGGTTTCGGGGTTTCGAGTTTAGGGTTTCAGGGATTGAGGGTTTAGGTTTTAGGGATTTATTTAGGGGTTTCGAGTTTAGGTTTTCGGGAATGCGGGATTAGGTTTTAGGGTTTCAGGGGTTTCGAGTTTATCTGTTAGGGTTTCAGGCGTTTCCGGTTTAGGGTTTAGTTTTTTTTTGGATCTCGGGTTTAGGCTTTAGGGTTTTAGGGGTTTCGGTTTTGGGATTTAGGGTTTTTAGGGATTCACGGTTTTAGGGTTTCTGTGGTGTTAGGGTTTTAGGGTTTCAGGGTTTTTGGGTTCCTGGTTTAGCGGTTTTGTTTGGGGGGGTTCGTGGTTTAATTGGAGTTTTGCGGTTCTGGGGTTTAGGGTTTTAGGCTTGAGGGGTTTAGGGCTAAGGATTTCTGGGTTTTCGGGTGTAGGGGTTTAGGCTTAGAGTTTTAGGGTTTTGGAGGGAGAAGAGTTTGAGGTTTAGGGTTTGAGGTTCTTTAGGGCTTTTGGGTTTCAGGGTACAGGGGGTAGGGTTTACCTTCGGAAGAACCCGATGGATCGAAGGATCCTTCCTGAATTGAGCCATTTTTTGGAAGATCTGGTAGCCGGAAAGTTGGCCCTCCCCGTTTAGGGTTTAGGGTTCCCCACCTCGTGACCCCCTTGTGGTTGTTCATTGCTTAGGGTGTTTGGGGGGTGGTATTTGAGTTTTGGGGTGCGTTTTGCTATTTGGGGCTTAGGGCTTGGAGGCTGGGTGAGGCTTTCAGGTTCAGACTTGTTGCGGCTTTGTTGCAAAGGGGTTCAAACAGAATCTTCAAAGAGACCCTGAACGCTGTGTCCGAGGTTTAGGGTTTAGGTTTAGGATTTAGGGTGTAGGGTGTAGGGTTTAGGTTAGGGTTTAGGGAGGTGTTGAGGCTGTCGTGGTCGGTCGCGTGGAATTTGGCATGGTGCGAGCCGCGCTCTGCCCGACCGTGACCGCGCCCTACGGCGGACACTGCCAGGTAGTGGCGTTACTTTTATCCCAATTATAAGTAGGGTTATAAGCCCAGTTATAATTGGTTAGTAAGTACCATGAACCTTCAAGTACTGCGACTTTCATGTGCTCTGGGGTTAGCAGCTGCTCACGACAAGACCTTTACCGTAACACTTGAGCACAGACTGTCTACTACGGTTGACATCATGTGGCGTTCTGAGTCACGGTTTCTCATGGGTTCCCCTACTACCCCCCTCTATACTACTCCCCCCCGCCCCTCCCGTCTAGGTTCCCCCCCATAATGAATTAAGGCTATTTAGGGGTAAGCAAGCCGAATTGTTTATTGCAAAGGGGGGAACCTAGGGTGGCAGTATAGAGGGGGGCCAATACGGAAACCTATGAGTTTTCTTGGCTTTCTTTTGGGTGGCTCTTAGGACTTGATTTTTGGGGGTTGTTGTAGAAACTACAATAAGGAGCCTAAAAGTTAAACTTTTAGGAGGGCTTCAGAAGTCAGCCAAGAGTTCGCTGACCTCAGGTTCCATGAAGGAAGGCTGGAGATGAAGGGTGCCAAAGCTCGCACCGTGGAACAAAACGAAGAAAAACACCGGGGTTCTTGGAAGACTTCAAGCTAAGGGTCGTTCCCCAAAGAGACCAATACCCCTTAATTGAGGAATACTCCTTAAATCATATTAATTAAGCATCCCTTTACAATTTAAGGTATATAATATTCCTTAAACAAGGAGTATTGGGCTCTCTGCGTCCCTTGGTCCCCCTTCTTTCAAGGCTTCTGAAGTGTGAGCTGTGGCTTTTCATAGGCTATCAAACGGGCATTTCACCCTCCCCCCCCCCCCCTCCGGGTAGACCCTCAACCCCTTAGACCGGAAACGCGACAGCCGAGGCACCTCTCACCCTAAACCCTAAACCCGAAACCCTAAACCCTAAACCCTAAACCCTAAACCCTAAACCCTAAACCCTAAACCCTAAAAACCCCCTAAACCCTAAACCCTAAACCCTAAACCCTAAACCCTAAACCCTAAACCCTAAACCCTAAACCCTAAACCCTAAACCCTAAAGACCAAGAACCAAGAACCTCTAAACCCTAAACCCCATGTTCTGCATCGCGTTCAGTCAGCAAGCTCTGTCTGTGGCCAGTGCACACTCCTGAAACCCTAAACCCTAAACCCTGCACCCGGAACCCTAAACCCTAAACCCTAAACCCCAAACCCTAAACCCTACACCCGGAACACACACCCGGAGTCCTGAGCCAAGCCGGAGCGTTTAGGGCTCACGGACTTCAAACCCCCGCAACTTCTGAGTCCTCGAACCCAACCTTCGACCACCACAGCGCCGACCCTAAACCATAGACCATAGGGTTTTAGGGTTGAGGGTTTAGGGTTTAGGGTTTAGGGTTTAGGGTTTAGGGTTTTTTTGGGGCTTAGAGTTTAGGGTTTAGGGTTCAGGAGCCTAAGGCGGAGCCCCTAAACCGCTAAAGCCTAGCCGAAAACCCCCCAACACCTCTTGCCACAAACAAAATCATGAAGAAGTATCAAGAAACAAGAGTAGAGGAAAACACATTGCATCATTTAAATAAAAACTAGGACCCAGAGTAGGCCCTTCTCCTGGGTGTTTAGAGTTTTTGGCCATTGGTTCCCTGATAAGCCCCTTTAAGCCAAAAGGGTTAAGCCTATTTATTCCTCTTGGGTCTAGAAATCTAAGGGTAGGTTCATGGGCTCTTCATGTGGTCCCTTACCTCCTTAAAAGGTTTTGAAGTACTGGCCCTTGAATTTTTTCTAGGGTATAGAAGGGGTATATAAGGGGTCCCCTTTTTAGAGCCCATCTAGGGGACCATGGAACTACCCTAAGATGGAATCATGTAGGGTTTAGGGTTTAGGGTTGAATCACCACACACGTAAACTCGTCCCATGTCGGACGATGAGCTGGACCCTGGCCTGCGCGGGTATTCGGCCCCATGGCTTGCACCAGTTTTTTTGCGGCCTAGAGATAAAGGGAGTTTAGAGTTTTCTTTGGGCGGTTGAGGGTGTTCATGTTGATTTGGGGCTTACGGATAAGGGGAGTTTAGGGTTTTTGGGGGTTTAGGGTGTTAATGTTGTCATCGTTTAATAAACCTTTCTCGTGGGCACCCCATTGAGGGGTTGGGGCGGCTCCAGGCTCGAGGGGTTTAGGGTTTAGGGTTTAGGGTTTAGGGTTTAGGGTTTAGGGTTTAGGGTTTAGGGTTTAGGGTGCCTCGGCTGTCGGGCCTTGAGGTCGAGGCTGATATGACCTGGCAGAGTTTGCGTTTAAGGTTTAGGGTTTAGGGTTTAGGAAAAACGGGTTTAGGGTTTAGGGTTTAGGGCTTAGGGTTTAGGGTTTAGGGTTTAGGGTTTAGGGTTTAGGGCTTAGGGTTTAGGGTTTAGGGTTTAGGGTTTAGGGTTTAGGGTTTAGGGTTTAGGGTTTAGGGCTGCAGGGCCTGGCTGAAGGCTCCTGGCCGGGGCAGTCTCTGGCTTCGACCTCCAGCCTCCAGCCCCCTGCAGTCTCTCTACTCTTTTAAGGCTGCCGGGCCTGCAGTCTCTGGCTTAAGGCTCTCCAGGCCCTAACCTCTAAACCCTAAACCCCAAACCCCAAACCCCAAACCCCAAACCCCAAACCCCAAACCCCAAACCCCAAACCCTAAACCCTAAACCCCAAAACCCTAAACCCTACACCCTAAACCCTAAACCCCAAACCCTGCAGCCGGGTTTCTTAATTGAGGGGGGGGGGGGGGGCTTGCAGTTGAGTTCCGGGCTTGGGATTTCTCATTGGACAGCCCAAAGGAAAACTCAGACAAAAGCCTCTAGAGCCCTGTACAACCGTATTCAACAGCTATGTACATAAAACCTTTAAAACCCGATAGAAACCCTATGAACGAACCCCTTTGAACAACAAAAGCCTTAAACCAAAACCCTTGGATTAGAAAGAAAAACACAAAAACAAAACACAACAACACAAAACAGAACAGAACGAAACAAAACACAACACAACAAAAACAAAACAGAACAAAACAACACAAAGCAAAGCAAAACAAAACAAAATAAAGCAAAATAAAGCAAAACAAAGCAAAACAAAGCAAAACAAAGCAAACCAACAAAAAAAAAAAAAAAAAAAAAAAAAAAAAAAACAAAAAAAAAAAAAAAAAAAAAAAAAAAAAAAAAAAAAAAAAAAAAAAAAAAAAAAAAAAAACAAACAACACACAACCAAACAAAAAAAACACAACAAAACAAAACAAAACAAAACACAACACAACTACTCCAAACAAAACACAAACCTATAGAAACCCTTAAACAAGCTAAACTTAAGGACAGCGGCTTTAGAAGCCTATTGCAGCAAAAACACTTGAAAACAAACCCTCAGGGGCAAAAACCTTTCGAAACCCTCACAAACTGGAAAGAACAACTATAGAACAACTTTTACAAGCAAGCCTTCAAAAAAAATCAATTGAAACCCTAGTAGCCCTTTAACCCAAAACCCTAACCCCCCCCCAAAAAAAAAAATAAATAAATAAAATAAAAAGAAAAAAATATATATATATATATATATATATATATATATATATATGAACCTTAACTTAAGGACAGCGGCTCCGATTACCATGACCTCCCGGAGCCGCCGCTCCCCGAGGACGCGTCTTGGGCGCGAGAGCTCGCTTGGGGGTTTGGGTCTGTTGGGTTTAGGGTTTAGGCTTTAGGGTTTAGGGTTTAGGGTTTGGGGTTTGGGGTTTGGGGTTTGGGGTTTGGGGTTTGGGGTTTGGGGTTTGGGGTTTGGGGTTCAGGGTTTAGGGTTTGGGGTTTCGGGTTTCGGGTTCTGGGTTTGGGGTTTAGGATTTGGGGTTTAGGGTTTAGGGTTTAGGGTTTGGGGTTTAGGGCTTAGGGTTTAGGGTTTGGGGTTAGGGCTTAGGGCTTAGGGTTTAGGGTTTAGGGTTCAGAGAGCCCAAAACCCCTGAACTAAGAAATGTGCCTTAAATTACAAAGGAAGGTTCCTTGATATCCTTCATCTGACTTAAGGAATGTTCCTTCACGAAGGGGGTATTGGGCTCTTTGGGAGCCTGCGCCAGTCAGACTCGCTCCTCCCTCGCCCTAGGACCCTAGACCCTAAAGCCGAAACCCTAAACCCTAAACCCTAAACCCGAAACCCTAAACCCTAAACCCGAAACCCGAAACGCTACCTCCGGTAGGGAATATGTCAAGGCCTTCAAAGGGCTCCGGACGTGCGCAGGAGGTCCGAAAAACGATCCGGGAGGCGGCTCCCACAGGCTGGCCGGCATGGGAGCGAGGCTTCTAGGGGTTTAGGGTTTAGGGTTTAGGGTTTTAGGGTTGAGGGTTTAGGGTTTAGGGTTTAGGGGTTAGGGGGTTTGGGCATGGGAGCGGGGTTTATACTAGGACCAAGAGTGGGCCCTTAATCATTTTGTTCGGGTTTAGGTTCCCTTGTAAGCCCCTTTAGAGCAAGAAGGGTCCCTCATTTGTCTAGGTCACTCTTGGCTTAGGTTTAAGGCATAGGGGTTGAAGTCTTGGGGTTTAGGGTTGAGATTTTTGGTGTAGGCGTGCAGGAATTACGTAGGGTTTCCGGCCTAGGGTTTGAGAGCTTGGTCTTCAGGGTTTTGGTCTGGGCTGTGGAGAGCTGAGAACGTTTCTGGTTGGGGCCTTGAGGTGTAGAGGCATATGGGATTTCCACTCTCTCTTCCGCTTTCTCTTTTGAGTCTCTCTCTCTCTCTCTCTCCACTGGCGGCGAGAGGTGTGTTCTTGAGCCATAGATGGCTTCGGTCTAGCCAAGGACTTAAGTAGGATTTTCGGGTTCCAGGAACTCAGAAGGGGCATACGGCGGAATTAAGCTTAAGAGTGTCCCACAATACCTTCACGTATAATTATTCCGGGTGCTGGTTTTGGCGAACAAGCCCTGGCCCCCCGAACCCTAAACCCCAAACCCTAAATCCGAAACCCTGGGCCCTAAAACCCTAAAACCCTAAAACCCTAAAACCCTAAAACCCTAACACCCTAAAACCCTAAAACCCTAAAACCCTAAAACCCTAAAACCCTAAAGCCCTAAAGCCCTAAAACCCAAAAACCCTAAAACCCTAAAACCTAGACCGCAGGCAGGGTTCCATAGCCCAGACCGTACGGCGTTTGTCCCGTTTCAAGCCCAAGCCCCTAACTCCAAGCGCGACGTGACACCTTACTTGGAGGTTCACGGTACTTTGGGGTTTGGGGTTTAGGGTTTAGGGTTCAGGGTTCAGGGTTTAGGGTTTAGGGTTTAGGGCAACCCAATTATCACTGCACTTACAGCACAACTGAAACCATGTTAGGGCACTTCAGCGGCTTATCAAGTGGGTTAAACCCTAAACCCTATACCCTAAACCCTAGCCCTAAACCCTAAACCCTAAAAGTGCAGTTACAACTTGGTTTAAGTACCATGAACCTCCAAGTAGAGCCCCCAAAAACAGCGGAGCCTGAAGACAGCCGAAGTGTTTGTTCACCGTCCATAGTTGGGTTTAGGGTTTAGGGTTTAGGGTTTGGGGTTCAGGGTTTAGGGTTTATAGAGCCCCCCGCTTTTGAAAGCCCTTTGCTGCGCTAGTCTACTGCTTGCTTAGAACCCCTCCCCCCCCCCCCCCCCCCCCCCCCCCCCCCCACCCCCAGGCCAAAAAAAACAAAAAAACACAGTATCCTATTATTTTATTGCCCTATTATAGGAGGAGAAAAAAACAATGCATATATGGTTCAGCGTCGAGCGTCCTGGGCCCCCCCCCCCCCATGGTATCCCCCCCCCCCCAAGTCTACTCTACGGTCCCTAAACCCTAAACCCTAAACCCTAAACCCCCAAACCCTAAACCCTAAACCCTAAACCCTAAAACCTAAACCCTAACCCTAAACCCTAAACCTTAAGTCTTAAACCTTAAACCCTAAACCCTAAAACCCTGAACCCTAAACCCTAACCCTAAAACCAACCCCCAACCACACCACAGGGGGGGGGATCATCTTAGTACCCCATCCGCGGGGAAAACCCTAAACCCTAAACCCTAAAACCCTAAACCGTAAACCCTAAACCCTAAACCCTAAAACCCTAAAACCCTAAAACCCTAAACCCTAAACCCTAAACCGTAAACCCTAAACCCTAAAACCCTAAAACCCTAAAACCAACCCCCAACCACACCACAGGGGGAGGGGGGGGTACCATTGAGGGGGGGGGTAGGGGGGAGGGGGGGGGGGCCCGCCGGGGCTGAATCATAATATGGTTCAGCGTCGAGCGTCCTGGGCCCCCCCCCCCCCATGGTATCCCCCCCCCCCAAGTCTACTCTACGGTCCCTAAACCCTAAACCCTAAACCCTAAACCCCCAAACCCTAAACCCTAAACCCTAAACCCTAAAACCTAAACCCTAACCCTAAACCCTAAACCTTAAGTCTTAAACCTTAAACCCTAAACCCTAAAACCCTGAACCCTAAACCCTAACCCTAAAACCAACCCCCAACCACACCACAGGGGGGGGGGGTATCATCTTAGTACCCCATCCGCGGGGAAAACCCTAAACCCTAAACCCTAAACCCTAAACCCTAAACCCTAAACCCTAAACCGTAAACCCTAAACCCTAAACCCTAAAACCCTAAAACCCTAAAACCCTAAACCCTAAACCCTAAACCCTTAAACCCTAAAACCGTAAACCCTAAAACCCTAAACCTAAACCTACCCCCTAACCCTAAACCCTAAAACCACCCAACCACACCCAGGGGGGGGGGGGGGGTAGGGGGGAGGGGGGGGGGGGCCCGCCGGGGCTGAATCATATATATATATATATAATATAGATGGGGGGGGGGGGGGAAGGGGCGGTTCTTAAGCAATTAGTAGTAGTGGATGGGGATGCAGCGAAGACCCCAGGAATGACCGCCAGAAGCCTGCGTTGCCAGTTACCAAGACTCAGAGTCCTCCTGTCCTCCGTCCCAAGAACCCGTAAAATCCCCAAAGGGTTTCGGGTTTAGGGTTTAGGGCTCAGGGTCTCAGGTTTAGGGTAACTAGGATGCCCAGTAGTACCCTCATTCCCTTTTTGGGGGTTTAGGTTCCCTTATAAACCCCTTTAAGCAAAAAAGGGCACCCTTTTTAAGCCTAGGTTACTGGGCAGCCTAGGTAAGTAGGTAAGGTGGGTTATGTTGAATGATAAGAGGGTTTCTAGGGGATACTGAGTCGGCTTACTAGGTCAAAGGAGCTTCCAAGTACTGACCAACGCTCCCTTACACCCGGTGGGATCCTTATGGAGTTTGGGGTTCTTGGGGAAGAGGGCTTAGTCGGGGTTTCAGGGTTCAGGGTTTGGGGTTTCGGTTAAGGGGTCACGGGGGGTTTGCGGGGAGGTATAGGGAGTTTAGGACTCAGGTGGTGTAGGTTTTCTCACTAGCAGAGAGGGGTCCTTGGGGGGCCGGGGGCATACGGGCACGAAAGCAGAATGGGCGTGCGCCGCCCGCCTGTTTGCGGTTGGCTATCAGAGTAACCCCCACGAAGGTGGCATTTGTACCAACCCCGAGAGCCCAATACCCCTTAACTATGCACCATACCTTAAATTATACAGGGATCCTTCATCCTAAACCCTAAACCCTAAACCCTAAACCCTAAACCCTAAACCCTAAACCCTAAACCCTAAACCCTAAACCCTAAACCCTAAACCCTAAACCCTAAACCCTAAACCCTAAACCCTAAACCCTAAACCCTACGAATTTAGGAACATTCCTGAATTGCGGCGTACTGGGCTCTTTGGGAAGGCTAAGTGGTTGGAGGAGAACTTCCTTAGGTGAAGGTTCATGGTACTTACTAACCAATTATAACTGGGCTTATCACCCTATTTATCATTGGGATAACCCCTATAAGGCCCTTTAGGGGTTAGGGTTAGAAGTACAGTTATACAGTTATAATTGGTTAGTAAGTACCATGAACCTTCAAGTAGGTGTCTACGCTGCCCAAAAGAGCGACCGACAGAGTCCAAGACCCCCCTGGATTCAGGAAGATTCCTTAACTCATAGGGTTTCGATGTATATCATACAATCTAATATACTATAACATAATATAATATAATATATATATATATGGACATTAG